CCCCCGGCGACGGCCAGGCGGTTACGGCACCCGGCCCCGGCCCGCCCGGGTCTGAAACGCCGGTGCGCGAGGGGCGCCGTTCAAAGTTGCTCCCTTCTTGCGGTGGCTTTCCGTCAGCCCTGCCCCGGGGGCGCAGGCTCCGTCACCAGTTACACCTCGGACAGTGAAGCTGCGCCGGTAACGGGAAACGGGAAAAACAAGGCGGGGCGGGGGACCCATAAAATGCCCGAAACGGGTAGGGTCCCAGCTCCGGCCCCCGCCCTCGTTACCGTGACTCTTGCGGAAACTCGGGTTTCTCGGAGGTGCTCCGGTAACTTCCCCAGAAACGTCAAAGCCCCCGAGCTGGATCTTCCCTCAGCCCTTAACGCCAGTTTTATTGCCGCCACCACCACCCCGCCGCTCCGCAGCCTGCGGGTGCCCGCCGGTCCCCGCGGGCCGACGCCGTTCGGCTGACGAGCCGCCCCGCGCAGCGCGCTGCGGCCCCGGGCGGACCTGCCCCCGCGCCGCTGCTGCGGCCCCCGGCCAGTGCCGCTGGTCGCCGGTCCCCAGCCCGAGCGGCCGGTTCCCTCGGCGCGAAGGCAGGCGAGTTTGCCGCGAGGGAGAAGCGAGGAGAGGGTGGGTGCCGGCCCCGCCGCCTTTGCTCGGTGAGAACCGAGAGCAGGCGCTGCCTCGGCCCCGGCCCCCGCTGCAGCCGCCCTCCCACGCCAGCCGCCCGACTCGGCAGCCGGCCGGCGCCGTACCCGCGAACTCGCCGCCCCGCAGCGGCTATCGCCTACTGGAAAGACGGTGCCGTAGCTTCTGTGCTTTGTAGCCACAGCGTTGCACGAAGCGTAAGGTAAGCGCAGGTACTTGAAAGCCGACGCACAGCCCCAGACCAGCACTGAGCGAGTCCGGCGTGGACGGCGCGCTCGTGGGGTCACAGGCTTCCCAACTGCGCCGGGCTTTGGGCAATGCCCAGTGACTGCTGTGTCGAGGCATTCTCTCAGAGGTTCCCCCCTTGCCCCGAGGGACAACAGAGCAGCCTTTCCCACTATTCACGGGATATATATGGCCCAGAGATAGAGATATATATAGGGCAGGTGGTAGGTTTGAGCTGTTGGAGGGCTGCACCTGGCTCAGACACAGACCCATCCCTCCACGATGGATGACACTGACAGAAATTTTTGCTGGGACATTTATTTTCTGGATGGCACAGATCCGACACTACAGCACACGCTTTTACACTCACAGAGTGGCTAAATTCAGCTGGTGGGCATCTTGCCTGGTAGCACTCTTTAAAAAAAAGAGAAGAAAACAGCACAAGAGGGTGAAGGAGCAAAATGTATAAGCAAACTTTATATCCCTTATCAAAAGGATTTCTGTACTCCTTCCAGAGTTTCTACGGGGATATTAACAGCCAAGCTACCTCTACAGAAAAGCTTATAAGCCCCTTCCAGCCCCACAGTGGAGGGTAACATCCACAGCAGGAAGGGACCACCCTTCCCTGCTCGCTCCTCCAAGCCACGAAGCTCCGCAGGGCTGGGTGGCAGCGCGAGGGGCGCGGGGAGCGAACCCCTGCTCTGAGACACTACATCCACCCCCACGCTGTCCTGTGTGAGATGCAGCGATCAAACCACAGGGCACAAGTCAGGGGACGCGCTTCACAAGCTGCCAGCGACTCTGACAGCACTATTAAAATGTTACTGTGACTTTTCATACAGAAGTAACTTGTTAATAGCAGAATTAAAACAACTACTAAATATTTGAGAAAAGTCTGTATTTCATCAAACAGCGAGGGGGAAGGGGAAGCCATTTTTTACCTACAGCACTCCAGAGGAAGCATTTAAAGCCACATTCGGCAAAAATAATTTGTATCTAGTTGGCAAAATAAATGCAAGGTTTAAACCTGATGAGCTTAAAACAATTGACTTGTCACTTTTGAAACATAGTATATCATGAAAAAGGATATACCTCGGAAGCACGCTGCAGCATAAAACTCTTGCAGTTATTTTATTCTTTAGTCCTAATCCTTGAGTTCTTCACATACAAAATGACCTCTGCTTATATCCCTTTTATAAAGGTATGGATCAAATATTTATTTGGCTTTACATGCTCACTAAAGATGAAGTGACCTTCACCCAGCTAAAGCAGAAGTGTTTAGTTTTAATTTTGGAATGGTCTGTAATAGAGTCAATTAGGCTATATTAAATGATGAATAACAACAGCAGTAGGCACTATAAGTCATAAAAGAGTATCCCCCACCAATATTGTACTGCAGCACTAATGCCATAAAGGACAGACACTACAGGGAGCAAAAACAATTCATAGCAGTGAAAAATCAGTAAAATTCCATGAAGTTCAAATTAATCCCTTCTTTCCATTTTACTTAGTTAAAGACAGGTATGAAATTTTGTAAAAAAACCTACAAAGCCATCTCCAGTTCTTACACAAATTAAAATTTAGCAAGTAACAAATAAAGATAAGCAAACATGAACTGCAAGTATAACATTTGAAATGGCAAAACTAATCACTAAACCCAAACATTAAAAGCTGTAATTGGATTCTGCACCTTCCCTGCTGTTACACAGCGGTTACATCTCTCTGAATCAGTGAGTGTACAAATACTGACAGTAACACTGCCTTCATTATACTGCTCCACCTCTACCTAGGAAAACATGGGTCCGAGCAGCTCTTTAATTTGACCTACACGCTGCAAAATGGAATCTTATTTTTCAAAACTGGAGTTATATATGTATTTATTCTGTGCAGGTGGACTCAAGCACCCATGCAGAACCCAACTGAAATCAATCAGGTTCAGTGCAGCTGCAATATTCGATCCTCCCAGAACAAGTTTCAGACCTGGTAGTCAAGTTATCACTTTAAGCAACTCAATATCAATGAAAATTTAATAAGTTTATACGGAAAAGATTTATGAAGCCAACTTTCAATTCACAGCAAGTTTGGTTTGTTTGTTTGTTTGTTTTTTAATCATCTACACATCTGATGCAAAGTATTACAAACATGGCAAAAACCCCATCACTCACTCTGCAGATCTGTTGATGAAGCCGAGGCACACTGGTTTGGGCCATAGTCATTGTATACGAAGAACTCTCCTTAAATGGATTCTGAATTTTGTTTTTTTTTTTTTTTCTGCAGATTGTGATTTGAAGTATTTGCTGATCTTCGAGAGTAAGAGTGCAGCCAGGCAAGCTGGCCAACAGTCATCATCAACAGCCATAAGGGTGAGTTCTCGGCTATGCTGCAGGCTGGCAGGTATCAGCTATTTGGGAAGGCATGGCAGTGTGCACAACCAGAGCAATGGACTGTTACAGTAATTTTAATTCCCACAAGTAGCTGAAAGGTTCACACACACCCCTCAAGCTTAAAAGGCAGATTTGTAAAAATGTACAGAGATTGCACCAACGAATCAATTGTCTCTTTCCAAGTGCTAACAAAAACCATCAGGCAGCTGTCAGTTCAGAACTTCTCTTGGTTTTTTGCACTGAAGTAAAGAGAAGATATATAGACTATCATAGATTAAAAAAATATAAAAGAAAGTGATGGGGCAGGGTTTTGTAACAAGACTTCCAGGGGACAAGATCCTCACCAAAGAGGACTGATAAGTCATCCCACTTGCAAAGCTACCTCTGTGATTTTTACAGCTGCCTCCAGACTTAAAGAAACTACCATGAAATAGAGCCCAAGGTCAGTGAAAAACTTAAGCATTTGCTTGATTTTAACCATGGGTTTAAATACTACTGTAGCCAATTGAAAACTGAATTAAAGTCAGCATTGTGGTGAAGCAGTTATTTTGTATCTTTTCAAATAATTTCTAGGGTAAAGTGTTTTGCTTAGTCTCTGGAACCTAGTTTGGAGAGCGAGTAGAGGGTATCTCAGCAGGCGGTTCAGGCTCTGCATGGTCTTACCATCTTGCTTATGTGCAAACCCAAAAGAATAAAAACTTAAGTGATAAGAGCCACAGTAAGTGTGTGAAAGAGGAACATTCTGCAGCTGAACAGATACAGCCCCTTCACAAACTTGTTCAGATACTTCAGTGTACATTTTCCACCCTCTATTTTACTTCATGCCAGTCTAATTTAGGCTCATGAGTTTCAATATAATAGATGACTTATGTCAAATACTAAAACTTTCCTTTCCTTGAGAAGTAAAATTCACCATTAACAAATAAAATTAAACCCCCCAACACTTCTAGGCCAGCTTCACTTTTTAAACGTTATCTCTTGTTTGCTTCGATAGTGCAGAAAAGAATGTTATCTTTCCCTGTGCAGGTAGTTACACACTACAACCCAGTCATCCCTCAGATATATAAATGAGGTGGCTGTGTTTACCTCAAACTCTGCAGTGAGCAATGTATAAATGAAGCAACTGTAATTAAAATTCCCCAATTCAAACTATGAGGAAAAAAACCCTCATTTTTTGCATTTAATGCTTAAATATTTTGTTAGTTTTTTATATTTTGTAATTATATTTATGATTTTTACATGTAATATTTAGACAACCCAAATCCTGACTAGTTGAATGATTTCTCCTCCCCCAAAGGGATACCGCCCCAGCCAGAATTCTTCAAGATTCCCCCCCCCCCAATATCCCTTTGTTTAAGTGATGGGGCTACAAAAGATTTGATCCTTACCAGAATACTTCCCGACTTGATTTTTTTTATGCGTTAAGACTCACCTTTCTCATGTTCACAAGGATGGAGTGGGCACAAGGTGAAGAAGTTTTTCCTGAAGTCAAACTTCAGCAAGACTTTATCTTTTAAAACAAATCAGTTTTGGATGAAAGATGGAGGTTTAAGCTGTTACACACCTAGCGTGTGATAACTTCTGGGTGTTGATTAAAAACTCCTGTATCTAGCCTAATCTATTCAGGATAAATGTAGATGCTGAATTCATCAAACACTGCTCAGAAGTGAGATCCTTAAAACTAAAGCACTAAACCTAAAAGCTAAAGTTACAGATCACAAAATGTGAACAAAATTTATATAAAATTGAGTAGCTGCCCAAACTTGGAGATCTATGAATTTGTTTAAGACTGTATTTTGGTATCGCCACGAGAGATGGGTGAGAAAAATCTGTACAGTAGCACTTAGAATTGCAGATGTTTGTATTTGCACCCTTCCTTTTAGTGCTCTGCATAACTTCTAACAGCTTATTCAAAGTCTCATGCAGTAGGGGCAGCTGATTTCCCTCGAAACACACTTATTTCCAATAACGTTGAAGTCTTCAGCAGCCACTTGATTAAGTGATGAGTGCAGCAATCTGCCTTTTCAAGTCCTCATTTTCTCTTGGATGTTCCTTCTGAACTGTGCATGCAGAAGCTGCACTGCAGAAGCAGCTGGCATGAACCAAAATTAAACCAGCTAGTCATAAAACAGAAATATATAGCGAAGTGGACAACCTATCTGTAGCAAGTTGTTCCCCTATCGACCCCCCCCATTTCTCCTTTATATTTACCTCCAGTTGCACAGGTGACATTTGCAATACAGTTAATTTCAATAAATATTTATAAATTCCTCTTTGTGCAGCTGAAGGAATTCCAGAACTTTATGGATGTCCCGAGGACACTGCAGTGTAGTTAAGCCTCTATTTGACTTTTATTAAAATTAGAAATCTTTTCTCAGCTGTTGTGTAACATTTTTATGTTCTAAAGGAAATTAAGAGATTCTACTTTTATAACCATGTACCTTAAAACAATGGGCAACATACCATTTCACATCAGGAGCTTCCAAAAGTTTTAGCAGGTCACACTAAGAGCTACCTCAGCCACACACATTAGGGTCTCTCTAAACTCCCTACAACCAAAACCATGAACCTGGGTTAATTAATGTCTTATCACCCTTCACCCCCATGGTTTGCAGTGCCCAGGAACCCCTAAATCTCTTCAGCTGGTCAGTGCACCTCTCCTCCTAGTTAGCATCCCTGTACCAGAGGGCTCTGCCCAGGCACTGGTGCCACGCAGAGCATCACCCCACACCTCCTGCTGTGCTGCACGGTGCTGGAGGCCGCATTTGCCTCTTGCCTTTCTGAGGACAGCAAGCAGCAGAAACCACACAACAACGCTCCCTTGGATCTAAGCACCCAGACGATGGAGCAAAATAGCTGGTCCTCATTTGACTACAGATTGGACAAATTTAAATCCTAGGGAAGAGAGTCCCCAGTACTTGTCTGAAAATTCAAATACAGAGCTTAGGACAAAAGAGAGTGAGAATTCAGTGTTTATCACATAACTAACATGCAACATGCTATAAATGACTGTCTAGAACTAAAGGTCTTGAAATTAATACGTTGCATCTCCTGAAAACTCAGTGAGAAACATAAATCATTCACTATTAACTCTTGAAAATCTTCATGATTTGAGAAGAAGGGACTCTATCTGTAACACTACCAAATTTCTACTCCATATCACAGTGAGGACTTCCTACAGGCTGGCATGAAACATGAGCACCCCAGTGAAACTTAACTGCCTGGAAATCAGGCTTTATTGTAAACTTTTCTTTTTTTTAATTATCTAGCATAGTTATCCTCTGTAAGAACAGAGGACAAGAATCCACAGCCCCTCCATTCACACAATGGCCAGAATTCAAACCAAGTCTCATGTCTTAAATTTTATAGCCAATTCTTTTCCACAGTTTGCCTAAGGCAATATTCTCCATTGAGTTAATCAGCAGACAGTTCTTTTCCCATAGTGCAGGGAAGATAAACTAAAATGCCAGGAAAAAATAAGTCACCAGCAACCCAAGAGATGCAGATTTTATGATGAAAATTACCAGTGTAATAAGAACCTCTATACCATAATTAGTTCTGAAGATTCACCTCCAGTCTCTGAGCTTCTCTGCAACAGTGCGGTGTTAGCTTTCTCAGTATCTAGTAGGTGAAAACATCTGGCTAAATCATTCCTGAAATATCACAAGTGTACCTTTTTAGCTTGGCTAAAAAGATGAAAACTGGTTTCCACCTCCAATTATGACTTTGGTGATGATCCTGATTGCTGGTAATGATCTTGGAAGTTGAATCCTGAGTACAGGCTAATTCCCTGATCCATCTTCCACAAATCTGAATTGCATGCATGAATTCCATCCTCCTCTTCCCACACCAGCTAAATTTCATACCCAGAACAGTCTGTCATACAGAATTAACCTATTCTGCTAGGGTAAATCTTGTAATGAAAGATTTTGGAGACCTATTACACAGCCCTTGCGTCTACCCTTTCTCCATGCTCACCTTTCTACCAGCACACTTACTATACACAAATTCTCATGACCAAAGTCTCAGACTAGGTTCAGCCCAAGAAGCAGAATAAGGAAACAGATTCCACACTTGCTTGCAGGCAACCTCTTAACAAGGTCTTGAAGAGTAAAACTGATGGTCTGTATTTAAGGCAAGCAGCTACAGGAAGTCTTCCAGTCCACACAAGAGTAAAAATAAAAACAGAGCAAGTCAGTCCAGGGATATCACAACATAGCCCCTTTCTTGACTGTGAGCTCTAAGTGAAGATTGTTAGTAATTGGGACTTGTAATCTCTCCCAAATGAATGCTCTGGGCTCTAACAACATCAAGAGTTCATATTCCAGCCTTTCCCTTCTTGTGCGAGCATCCGAGGTCTCTTTCCTCTTTTTGCTCTTTCACAGCTCTTGCCGAAACTAAATTATTTCGGAGGCATTTGCTCCGATGGGTTCAAGCATCACTGGAGAAATGGGGAGACGGAGAGAGGCACAGCCAGCGTCACAGCTCACTACTGCTCAGAGAGATGACCACAATTCTGCATTTCCTTCCTCCCATGTACCTCATCGCATAAACCTGCCTACCCTGTGCTTGTCCTACCTTTCCACAAGGAAAATGGTCAAACAAGTGCTAGAGCTGGTGGTGGGACAGTGACAGGAGTACGTGACCAGAGCGGAAGTGAGTGGGATGCAGAGCACAGCATTGACTCAGCCCATCTTATCAAAACACACGCTCCAAATGAAAATACTGTGGATGGAGTTGCATGTTACAAGTGAACCGTTACCAAAAATGAGGACCATCCTGCTCACTGTCATCCCCGTTTCCTGCACTGAGTCAATTCAACTCAC